CCAGCTAGTTGTTCTATTTTCTTTTAGTTCAGAGTCTCACTCTCACTCAGGCTGATCTCCAATCCCTGAGCTCAAGGGATTACTCCCCTGGGCCTCCCAGAATGCTAGGATTATAGGTGTGAGCCACCATGCCCAGCCCCTCAATTTTCTCCACATTTTAAAACCTAAAACACTGGCTGAGGTTAAGGGAAGTATTTTTATATAGAATAAGATCCCAGAATAAAGCTATCCCTTCTAATTCTCACACTTTTTGAATTCATTTCCCAGGAAGAGAAATATAAACCTCCTGTTCACCTTATCTCCTTCTCCCTCCAGGCCCACCACCTATCTCCAACATTCTTCTCCATCCATCATCCCACTTTACTGAGTGGATCAACTGATATCAGTAGGTGCCAGAATGTGGAGTTAGTCACCTTAAAATAAAGGGCAGATGGCGGCACCTGTAGCTCAAAGGAGCAGGGGCACTGGCCCCATATGCCAGAGGTAGTGGGTTCAAACCCAGTCTCCACCGAAAAACTGCAAAAAAAAAAAAACCAGGGCAGAGAGTCAAGCCCCTCCTCCCTACTCATGTCCTGGTAGATTTGGAAAAAAGAGGAGGTGAGAGTAAGCCACAGTGAAACCAAATGAAAACTACAGAGACCAAACACAATTTAAGGACTACACTTGAGAGCCCTAATGCCCTCAAGCAACTACACTGTGAACTTCGTTCAATAATCTGAGTTGACAATGATGACGTTCCAGTTAAACGTGACTTGTTATAAACTTGAAGCACTAACTCTCTCCATGAGTGAATTTTAATACACTATGTCATTTCATAATTCAGGGGTCAGCAAACTTTTCTGTATAGGGCCAGACAGTATTTCATACCTTGTGAGCCAAGGCTCTTACAACTACTCAACTCTGCCCTTGCAGCATAAAAGCCAGAGACATTATAAATAAATGGGAACGGCTTTGTTCTAATAAAACTTTATAAAAATAAGTAGAGGGTCAGATTTGTCCCAAAGGTCACAGTTTTGTCCATCTCTGCACAAGTTTAATTAGTGGGCTGGGGGGTCAGGAGCAAGTAGTAGCATGTATGATGACTATTAATAAGAAAACAGTATTCAAAATTTATATAATTATGATGTTAGCTGTAGGCTTATAAAAAAATAATGAAAAGGAAACTTACATGGGCAGAACCCGTGGCTCAAAGGAGTAGGATGCTGGCCCCATATGCTGGAGATGGCGGGTTCAAACCCAGCCCCGGCCAAAAACAGCAAAAAGAAAAAATAAAAAAAGAAACTTACGTGATCAAGTTTTCTGCATGCACAGCAGCCTCCACAACATGAAGTGATGGTGGTTTAGCAGCTTCAGTCTGCAATTGCTTTACTTCTTTCCGCAAACCATGGAGTTGTTGGCTTATTGCTTCATTCTTATGCATGCCTTCAAACTAACGAAAATTAAAGCGGTCAACAGATTTTCTTCCCCTGCATGTTTCCAGAACAGGTATTTAATTGCAAATATACTGGGCATATGATGAAGAGAGTATTATTACAATTAATACCATAATTTAACTCAAAACTTGCAGTTCAGGTTCAGCACCCATAACACAGTGGTTACGGCGCCAGCCACATGCACCAAGGCTGGCAGGTTCAAACCCAGCCCAGGCCAGCTAAACAACAATGACAACTACAACAAAACAAAAAATAGCCGGGTATTGGGGTGGGCACCTGTAGTCCCAGCTACATGGGCAGCTGAGGCAAGAGAATCATAGGAGCCCAAGAGTTTGAGGTTGCTGTGAGCTGTGACGCCATAGCACTCTACCGAGGGGCTATATAATGAGACTCTGTCTCAAACAAACAAACAAAACACCCAACTCTCAGTTCAACCTGAGAAGGTAGGGAAAAATTTATCAAAACACAATTCAGTGATCTCAGGTTTTCTACAAAGAATCAAACTTAAATAGAATATCTTATAAAAACATCAAAATTTGTATCTGTATATATTGATTGCCTTATAAACTGATGCAATTTTGAATTAATATGCCAATGGTTCAAAGTCCTTTGTAGGGTATGTTCTACTTCACTTATGTTTTGACTCCTCAAACCCTCATCAAATATAGACCCCATGTCTTCTCCCACCATGTCCTTTCCTGAAGCACACCAAGGCTCTCTTCTGTTAATCAGGCCTCTCCCAGCCTTACCCTGTGTGCTCTCAATCCAATACACACACCACTCACTTCTAAACACCTGGCTGCATGAATGCCCAGCAAACCAGATGCTATTAACAAAGCAAGTGCCATTTTGACAAAAGAAAAGATATATAATTATAAAACAAACAACAAATAAGATAAAATATAGGAAAGTACCCAAATCAAATGCAAACCAAGTAAAAGAGCAAATGGCTGATTCAGTGGTTCTGGAAAGCTACTCTTTGATAAAAATTTTTGTTGATTTTCAGTAAAGACGTGAAAAATAAAAAATTTACTGAGACATGAAAGAAACTAAAATGTATTTCAATGTAAAATACTATCTTTTTTTAAGCCTATGCCTTTCTTACTTGATGGGGATTGTTAACATATTCTTTCTCTAAATGATGGTGACCTACATGATAACTGATTTTGTTTGTGTATTTTTAATGTCCTTTTTTAGACATGGTAGATGGAAAGGAGAGGACATTCTAAGCCCAAGCTGTAAAACAACCCACGTGGCAGCTGCGGGGGATGGAGGACAGCGAGGCAGAGAGGAGGAGCCCAGCCAGGCTGCAGCCAGGAGTGTGCAGGGTGTAGCAAAAGCACACCAAGGAGCAGGGGAAGCTGCCTCGGGGAGACTTTGAGTAGCAGGCTGGGAATTTGGCCTTATCTTGTAGGCACGGCCGAGAATGCTAAGAGAGCATTTAGAAGGCAGGGGTTTTAAATCCTACACTCTCCTCCCATGATCTTCCCCAATCATATTGGTGAGCTGTAGGGTCTACTCTTTCCCTTTATATGCTCAAACCCAATCTTCACCCACCAGCACAATTACAGGCATCCTTTGTAAATAATGTCAATACACAAACTTATTTAACTGACACTCTTATGTTCCATATAAGGCACAGAATTATAATAAATTCCATGTCACAAGCTCCTAAGGGCAATGGTCATTCTGTTTGGTTTACTTTCACAGAACCTTAGCACAGCGTAAAGGATAGTTGAGTCCCTACTTTTTATGATTGTGATAGCAATAACTTCCTTCTATAAAAATTCACTGTTTTGATCAAAATCTTTACAAATTTCTTTTAAAGAAAAAATAAGCTGAATGAGATCAAATGCATGAAAGTCAATACCTAAGAACATACAATGTTGACCATAATTCACTTTTGCTATTAGAGACAATAAAACAATTAGGAGAGAGAACAACAGAGAACAATAACAAATTGTTTATTAGAGAACAATAAAATAATTAAGTTACTTGCTTTAAACTACATTTAAAAACTGATTTAAACTAATTAAAAAATAATCAGTATAAATATCTGAATTAAATCTTAAATTTTTCAAATAAGAGACCAGTGTTTCCTGGCCTAAAATGTGATTAGGAGTATGTGCGTCAGCTTTTTCATCCAAGGTGACACCAACTACTATTAGACTGGGATGCTGAGGGTCGCAGAGTGCCACTAGCTGGCCTGGAGAGAAAGCAGCCAAATGAGAGGAAAAGAGAGAATCAGAGAGGAGGGAAGCACTATGTGAAGGAAAGTAGAAAGGCAAAGGGGAGGAGGGCCACTTCACTGGGAAATGCAGATACAGAACTAGGACCACTGTGTTACCCAGACTTTAAAACTGCTACCCCACCTTGTAGAAACTACTAAAATAAAACCAACAAGTTAAGGAAAATTTAGGCACTCTTGCAAAAAGAAAAGGAAAGGAAAGGGGAAAGAGAAAGGAAAGAAAAAAGAAAAGACAAGATAGACAGAAAGATCCCCAAATAGCTATTTTCTAGTCTACTTATTTTTGTTCATTATTCCCATTGCTGTTGAAAGTCTTCTTTTCTTACTAGAACGGAGGTGAGAATGATTAAACGACCACCAGATGATAATCACAAGAAGTTGTAAACAATAGAACAAAGCAATCTGGTGGAAGCCCCTCCACCTAACTGATTTTAAGTAGACAAAGAAATTTAAAAGTCGGACAAGGCAGGTCCTTTGGCAGGTTTTTACAATAGTGTGAAGCCCACTGTGGTTCTTTTCCACCTTTCACTTCTAGGAATGGGCAAATTTTTCACATGTTAATAAATCAACCCTAGGTCCAGCAAACATGCCCCACAATACCAAATTACAACAAAAGGAACCTAATTATAAATCACCCCATTTCCTCAGGGAATATCACTGACTTATCAGAGGCTTCTATTAGAAGGGAGAACACAGAAGAAGCACGTTTCATGTCCCATAAAATATATTTGGCTTTTGTACACCCCAAACAAACCGTGCATAGTTCAAACACTTGCAGATGGCTGGAAATTTCCAGGACTTTCTTTCCCAGAAAAATTCTATTAAGCATTAAAATATTCTCATGGTAGAATTTGAAATATTTATAAAGGAGCCACTAAAAATAATATTTAAAATATAAAATTATCTTCTGTGAAGCAATTGTAAAAAACTGAAGCAATCCAGAGTGTTCAGTTAAAATCAGGGATTCTCTAATCACCGAAAAAGATGGCAAAACTATCATCTAGACTCAAAGGGAAAATGGTATGTACACATGTTCATTTTTAGGAGCTTCAACTGTCATATCAGCTTACTCAGAATCATACTGCAAGTCTTTAGAAGCTGCAGTTGACACGGCTGAAATAAAACGGGCTGGCAATACTGAATGGGTTCTTGAACTCAAAATGAATGCAGGTTTGCATTCTGCCTGAGCTACCTACTAAATGTGACTCTGGCAAGTCTAATAGTGTCTCTGACCTATTTCTCTGAATTCATTCTCATTCTGTGAAGATAAGTGGGATAATGTAAGCAAAGCAGCTAGCATTAAGACCTGAGATACTGGAGTGTCCAAGCAAGTGACAAAAAGTGCTCTGAACAGGGCTGGGGAAGCGTGGAGTGCTATAGTGCAACCATCCTTACAGTCTTCCAAGATCAAATGCCCGGGAGATATTTATATTAAAAACAGAAGAGAAGCAGTGTGTACTATTTAAGTTGAGACTTCTATGGAAAACATTAAGATGTTTATGTTGGCCAAGAGTAAGCATAAAGAAGGAACTTCAAACTGCTAGTAGGAAAAAGTTCCAACTTCTGTGGTGTCACAGCTGAATAATATCTACAAAGTACCTGAAAGCAGTTAAAATCAGGGAACTTGCTTGTGAAGGATATAAATCTAAAGTTGTCGTTCCTTCAAACATTTCCATTTTGTGGCACTGACTGTGTGAGGCACTGACAATGTAAATGTGAATAAGACAAAGTCCTGACCTTGTGTAACAGCCATAGAACTCACAGTAATGCAAACAAGTCGTAATGCAACCTTATGAGTGGTGTGCCCGTGGCTGTAACTGACTCATTTGAGAGATGTTAATAGGCACCTACCATGTGCCCAGAGCCATGCTAGGTGGTACAGGCACACAAACTGGGACGGAAACCCGACTGCCAAAGAATTTGTTCTAACAGGAAAAAAGAAGTAACTACAACAAGCACTTAGGCACAAGCTGCAACAAGAAGAAGGAGCATCCTAATTTGACCGAAGGCCAAGTAGAAGAGTAGGAGGACAACAAAGATGTGAATGTGCATGTTGTGCTTGGAGAATGGGAAAAGTCGAAGTGGCTAGAAAATGAATGTTTGGCAAGTGGGAGAGAAAAAATGATGCCACCAAAAAAGACCAAGACAGATTATGAAGGCCCCTAAGAGTCATATTCCTCTTGGATACTGAGCCAATGTGGGTTTTTAGCCTGGAAGTGTGATCAGATCTATGTTTGAAAAGATGAGTAACAGAATGGAAAACAGACTAGACAGGGAGAGAAGCGAGGTGGGCCTACCGTGGAGCAGTGGCAATGGAAACAGAGAGAAGAGAATCAATTTAATGCCATGTCAGAGGCAGAACCAGCATGGTTTAGGAAGCAACTAGATGGAAAGTATGGGGGTGCAGGTGGTATATGGAAAAGCAGACACTGAGGACTAGGAAGAATAGGTGTGGAAGGTAAAGATGAGATCAGTTTAGAACCTATGGAGTTTGAGGTACCTATGGGATATTAAGGTAGAATGTTAAAGAGGCAGGTAGAAATCTAGATTTGGAACTGGAAAGGAAGAATTCTGAACTAAAGAAACAGAACAGGGTCATCAACACGTGAGTAAATGCTTCTTAATCACTATTCTGAGGGTCAACTAAACCCATGAACTCTCCAGAAAAAAATTATACATACACTATCAGGGGCTTCACCGACCCTCTAATGTGCACCCACAGACCCCAGCACAGCCAGCAGACAAGAGCAGATGACATCACATCAAGAATAGGATTAGGAGGAGAAACAAATACAACCAGCAAGCTAAGGGCTGAGTTGAGGAAGGGGAGTCCCTGGAAACTGTGTCAGAGATTCAGGGCACTGGATAAGACCACATGAAGTTCATTATGACCAGATGACATAAAGATGCTAAACAGAACCAAAACTACTGGATACAGCCATTAGGTGGTTAGTAGACACACATCTGAGATAGAAGGCACAGGTAGACAAATACGATTTACACATAAAAAGAGTACAACCCACCTTTTGCAGACCACGTTCTCTCCCAATGACAGTTTCATGATGAGTGAAAAACACTCAGAATTCACCCTCCCAATCTACCGTTAACACTTATCTTTCCAAAACTAAAGTCACCCATGACCAGTCACCCATTTGAGTAAAGGATGGCTTCAGATTCAAGTACAATCAATCTTTAGCATAGATAATGGCCAAACTTCATGGCAATTAGCATTTCAACTTTCCTCTACCTTATTCTTAGCCAGTAATGAATAGACAAAACATTAATACTTTATTTTCAATTCCTAGAAGAATCAACTAACAAATGCTGTCCAGAACAGCCTCAGTCACCAATTATAGTACTATATAATTTTCAAGAGAAATCTTATTTAAGTCTCAAACTATAAATGCTGTTCACTGTCTTCACATTTTTAACTCCCCTGGCACTTGTGCATTATCAGGCAAAATACTGGCTGCCATAGATACAGACGCTCTCATTGATACGAAACTTCAAGGAGCCATCAATGGGGGCTCTCGAGCTCCTGGAGCTTCCCAAGTGGAACTGAAAGTTGAGGCACTATGGCTAACTGCCTGTAGCACAGTGGTTATAGTGCCAGCCACATGCACCGAGGCTGGCAGGTTCAAACCCGGCCTGGGTCAGCTAAACGACAATGACAACTGCAACAAAAGAATAGCCAGGCACTGTGGCAGGCATCTGTAGTCCCAGCTACTTGGGAGGCTGAGGCAAGAGAATCACTTAAGCCCAAGAGTTGGAGGTTGCTGCGAGCTATGATGCCACTGCACTCTACTGAGGGTGACAAAGTAAGACTCTGTCTCAAAAAAAAGAGGAAAAAAAAGAAAGAAAAGAAAAGAAAGTTGAGGCACTAGACAAACAAGTGAGACCAGCAGAAAATAAAAACCTACTTTAAGAAAACTTGAATATTTCTCATGACATTATGGCCACAAAGCATAGCTACTTCTAAAATTTTTTAGCCTTGTATAAAACCTTCTTTTTTTCCTCTGTCTTTTATTATGTTTTCCTCCCTCTTTTGTCAAGCAATTACCAACTACCAATTTTTCTTTTGAGAAAAGAAAGTAAAAGAATCTCAGTACATCTGCAAAAATATTTAAGCTGTATTTACATCAATCCTTATAAGCCACTTATCCTCCCTCCAATCAAAATTACCTTGAAGTTATTTTAGAAAAAGTGTACCCTTTAATTTCAGAATTAATAAAGCAAAAGAATATTGAGGGAATTTCAATTGAAGGGTTCAGACAAATAATTCTGTGATCACTTTTTCTGTAAAGAAAAAGAGATAAAAGACACTGGTAGACTTATAGCTACCATGGTCTGCCTGGTGGTATTTTCCAGGGCAAGGCCCTATGAGTTAACAGGGGTCAGGATAAGAGACCTGTTCTTTGGCTGGGGAACCAAATATTTACAACTGTTCACAGAGCAAGCTGTCAGCAGGAATTGGAAAAACATTTCTTTGTACTTATCTCACTAGTCACTTATAAAAATGCATTTTAGGAGAATTCTCTTTTATGTAGAATTAATAGCCTGGCAAACATATGTAGTTTCAAAATATGGAAAAATACCATATTTGTAAAAAACACAGATTGGTAATGACATCCCTTTTTTATTATAGCCATATACATTTTCAGTTTTTTTCTCCACTAACTCAAACTCCACCCTGATTTGGAACCTCTTCCAGTTTTAGGACTTTGGCAAGTGATCTGTCTTAAATACTTTTACCTCGGTCTCACTACAGCATTAGTTACTGGCAAAAAAAAAAAAAAAAAAAAAAACAACACTGAAAGAAAACTAACTTTATAAAGTACCTGGGCAAAGATAACTCAATCTTTAGGAGTTTCATGTTTACAGCCTAAACAGGAAACTAAGGAAAATATTTATGCAGGAAAATAAGTTGGATTTATTATTGAGATAACTCAATCTTTAGGAGTTTCACGTTTACAGCCTAAACAGGAAACTAAGGAAAATATTTATGCAGGAAAATAAGTTGGATTCATCCTGACTTTTAGGTCAAACTTCTTAACTTTAGGTTCATACAAATATGTTGGAAAAATCAGAAATAAATTTAAAAGGTAATTAAAAATACAGTAAATGTAAAAGATTATTTCAGAGAAGACATTTTGGAGAAAAAAAGTCTTCCCAATGAAACTGGTGAAGAATACCTGAACACATGAGATCAGCAAAAAAAGAAGGGAAATTACTGAAAGACATCATCCAGAGTGAGTCAAATCAATTTCCCCCAATTTCCAAAAGCTAACAAAAAAGAGCTATTTGTGTGCAAATGTATTCAGGCCCATCTCCCAGAGTTCTTTCCCAGGGAACACTGAATCCACTGGCAAAAGGAATAAAGTGCAGCGGTTAAAGAGCGTGGGCTTGGGAGCCAGACTACTGGGCCTTCTGGTTCCACCGCTCGCTGGCTGTGGCACCTCCAGAATGTAACTTAACCTCTCTGTACCTCCATTTCCTCATCTGAGAGATGAAGGTGACAACAGCCACCTGGAAGGGTTGCTGTGAGGAAAACAATAAATCATGTAAAATGATTAGATAGGGCCTGTCCTAGAGTAAGTGCAAGAAGGGAAATGTGAGAGATGGTTCCACGTTTGGTCCTGTTCTTGCATGTCTCCCTTCTGCCCGCTGGCAGGCTCCACCCAGCTCATCTGCCTCCCACATGTCCTTCCCATACTTGTCTCAAGGGCTCCCTGCTGTCCACCACAGACAGCCAGGGCTCCCAGTGATCGTTCACACCAACCTGTACAATGTGAATCCCCACCAGCAGTCCCCAAAACACTTGAAAATAAAACTAATCTAGTCTCTGACTCCCAAATGAAATCATGGCCATTCCATTACCCCATTCTTCTTCTTCTTTTCTTTTTTTTTTTTTT